GCTTCCTTCCGTATAACCCTATTTCTGTTTCTTCCAGTTTCATCTTCCTTATTGAGTAGATTGTCGAGCAGCCACTTGTCATATGGGAGGACAAATATTACATTACAGTTCAGTACTGGTTTCTTTGTATCTAATGAAAATTTCTGTTTCTCAATACTTTCCTTAGATTCTGAAGACGTCTTTCACTATCCCACTCAGTCTTCGGATTTCAGTTGCAAACTTTAAATCCTCTGTTGGATTACTAGATATCTAAATTGTTGTACTTGTTTGATTTTGGAATTTGCTCATAAACATGCTATCTGTTTTCTTTAGTTGTTTAGTCCTTTCTTCTGGCTTTCCATCACTACTTTCTGTAGAAGTTATATTCCTTTTCTTTTTAACACGGTGTAATATGGTGTTGTTAAGATTGAGTCCGTCAGTAATGAATCATGCTATGTCTTTTAAATCTCTCAGAATCGCCTCGCTATTTACATTGAATAAATCCGGTGAAAAGACACATCCTTGTCTTACAACCCTGTCTACTTTTGATTATTTAATGAAGACATTTTCTATCTCTATGCTGGCGATTTGTTGTCAGTATAGATTCTGGATTATTCTATTCTTTCCAGGAATATCATGGTTATCTTGCAGTTCCACAATATCTTATGAATTAAATAAAATTTTAGAAGATCCTTTAAAATTAAAGTAAACGTATATTATTGGAGTTTTGTGAAAAAAAATTTAAATATTTATAAAATCACATATGCTAAAATGAACAAATTAAACAGATTGCAATTATAGTGAACACATTAAAAGTACATATTGAGTTAATCAGTTTTACACAAAGTAAAAAAGTTTTTAATGAAATCTAAATAAATAAACGGCAAATTCTGTCTGTTCGTTGGCGTGTCTGAAACTCCACTAACTCGGATCACACTTTCTCTGCACAGATAGATTATACCTTTTTGGAATTAGGATGATCCCAGGATTAAAAATCTGCCCTTCAGCTGGTGCCTAAACGTCCAGGATTAGGATGTGTTTCTGGATGAGGATGGATCAATGGAAAATTCAAATTTTAAAATAACTATTTTTTTTAATAACTGACAAATATAAGATTTTAATTTATACTGAGTTTTAAAAAATACAAAAACTTTGTGAAATTATTTTTTTTGTTTTAAATTCAGTTTAAAACATTTCCAAATCTTTATGAATTGGGGAAATCAATTTTATTTCATCAAAATGCCAAGGAACCATTCGTAAAGTGAGTGGTTTCGTTACATGAGGTTTGAAGTTCAGCAGAGTTTGTGATTTGAAGAACTCAACGCATTTGAAGTTCCACGAAGTTTGTGATTTTCGGCTTGAATGGGAATTTCGTCCCAAATCGGACGTTCGGCACAAAGGGATCTTTTGGCCGGAATTGGTCTTATAGCCCGAATCAGGGTTAAAGCAAAGTTTTGAAGTTCCATGGAGTGAATTGAGGAATTTAGTTATTTCTTCAACTTATCATTGCAGTTTTAAGCTGGGTCCCAAATAGCCCTACGCAGATTGCGAATTTTAAGCAAGTTATTCAGAAAATGCAATGCCTACTGATTAAAATAAAATTTAATTAACTCATCTTTTAGGGAGAAACATTAAAATAGGCACAACATTTAAAACATATGTATTGAACTGCAAAGTTTAAATGTTTTTAAGCATGTATAGTTATCAAACGATTAGATTTCTACGCTTCAACTGACAGATTTTCAAAATGAGCTGATGATTTTCATATTAAATCTTCGCGTGTGTTTTTGTTTCTTTCATGACATCCGCACGTGAGGTGTAAATAAAAAGACTTTGCATCAGCTAGTCAGGAAGTGTCCTAGCAGTCCGCGTGATAATACGGGTAGAAGCCATATGTTATAGTCTATGTTATAGCCAATCCTTCCTCTCGTCTCTTTCCTGTCATAAAAAACCGTTTCATATGAAGAAACTGAACTAAATAGAAAAAAAGTAAAAAATAACTCTACATCTTTCATGTGTTGCGTCACTTGAAGAAATAGGTGATTATGGCAGCCACAATTTCCTATCCTTTGTGGCTCTTACCAGTTTTCTGAGGCTCCCATCCCTGTTCTGTCAAAAATTCACAGAAGATTGTCAGGCAAGTGATTCGATGCTTTCCCCTATCTCTTACATCCTCAATATGCCTTATGTGGGTGATGTCATGCAAGACCACCTTCCGAATTATGTGTTCAAGGAATTTCAGATGTATTTTCATGATTCTGACTGTTGCCATTTACTTTAAGACCTCTCTGTTGCATACTCAGTATCCTGCTCTAGAGCTACCTTTGGATTTTTCATCATCATATAAGTGAATGGATATCACATCGCAATCCAGCACTCTTTTCTTTTCTAATGAATTGTTTCCATTTCTCAACACCATGCTTAGTTTTTGGGATGTTTCTTTCGCTAGTCCAACGCGTGTTCGGATTTCGGTGCCACATTTTCCATCCTCTGTTAAAACGCTTCCCACAATCTTATAGCTAGTAAACCGCCATGTCATGAATTCGGTGCTGTTACAGAATGCGAAAGCCAGAGCCAAAATGGTCAGCGATTGGACGAGGTGACCCGTGGGCGGAGTATTCTGACAGTGATGGGTTCCCTTTGACTTGTTTTTTAATATGTCCAAAACAGCGGTAATTCAACTGACGGTCTCAAGAATTCTGAAGCGTCGATATGCCTCCCACATTCCAGTTTGGGACCATTGTCTGCTAAAACGTTTCCCAGATATTTAAATATCTTTTTTAATGCTGATATCTGCAATTCGTAACTTGCATTCTAGCCTTTTTTTCTTTTTCTGTCTTCTTGCAATTAATGGTTAATCGTTTTCTTTTCTCGCTTTCTTCTACTGACCTGTCTAGGAGGTCCTGTAGTTTCCGATCAGATTCGCCATTCAACACAGTGTGATCTGCGTATCTTAAAATCCCTCCCACTGATGATAAATCCTGCTAGGATAGCGTCGCTGTCGAGGCTGAATAAAATTGGAAAGAAAAACATCCTTGTTTCACTCCCTCTTTTTTGTGTAGCTACTTAATTCGTAAATCACTTCAACAATTTCTGAAATAGTAAATGTTGGATTTACAGTATAACTGCTTTCAATTCCTTTCCATTTTCTTAATGGACGAGTTGACTATCAAAAAAGGTCGCTCGCAGGGGACATTTCTCGTAACTCTGTGGTCCAGTTCATGTACAAAGGTACACATTATGGCGTAGCAGTTACGGAATTTAACAGCGAGTTAGATGGAGTCAGGTCAGACACCAGTGAAAAAAAAGATCCTAGCGGACCTGGCTTCCATTCAAAAGATCATGGTCTCGCCACAGTGAAAATGATGCGAACAAATTTTAGCGCATAATTCTTTCTCGGATCCTCAAAACTCTAAACTCTACTGCATCAGATCGCGTTCAACTTCTAGTCGCAGGTTTTGTTTTCACTTTCTAAAATTGTTCCTGAGAAAAGTATGAATTTCGTTCTTTACTGCACTTTTCCTTCTTCAATGTGCATTATCTCTTCCGGATGTGTGCGATCATGTTTCTCCACGACATCTAATCCTACGTAGATTTTAGCAATAGTTGTCTTTTTACTATCCTACTCCCATCCCATTTACACATACTAGTTAGTTAAGATACGCGCTGATTTCCTATACCCCTCTTGCCTTCAATATGACTTAGGCGTGTCAAATTTTCCAGGTCTCCTTTTCTCATTATATAGCCCAGAATTTTCATTCTCTCTACTTGAATATACTTAAAGATGTCCTCATTGTTTTCATTTTTATTAAAACTTCATTGTTAACAATCTATGGTATTTACAACATCCTTTTGAAACAGGCTGATGCTGCCCGCTCCTCGCTGTGTGTAATTGACAGAGATTAAAAGCGTTTACACGGCCTTGTGTGTGATGTATTATTTTCCAACATGAAACCCCTTTCACACAGCCGAAACATTGCTAGCCTTTCGCTAATCTATCGCTATTTCCATTGTAAGTTTTCAAACGAGTTATATTCCATCGGTCGACCAGTTCAGGCATTCATAGCTAGAAACCACAATGTCACGAATTAGGTATTGTTACAGAATGCGAAGGTCGCAGCCAGAATGGTCAGCGATTTACCGGAGTGACACGTAGGCGTGGCATTCTGACAGTGATCGATTGTCTTTGTCTTGTTTTTGAATTTAAGTACAAAACGGCGCGAATTCAATAGATGGTCTCAAGAATTCTAAAGCGTCGATATGCCCCCCACAACCAGGTTTACAACCATCTAATGCCACTCGCGGGGTGGGGATGCTGAACCAGTGTGCGACATGTGTTCTTGTCCCGTCAGTTCTACTAATGCATCTTAGAATCGAAGCTAAAAAGGTTATCAAAAGTAAATGATTCTTTTCGTTGATACCGTTTTCATTAATAGCATGGGGATCCCTAGACAACAAACAGCTCAATATTATCAATTCATTCATATTCCCTTTTTGTATTCAATTAGTGGGAAAGAAGTTTCACTTAGACAGTTTCTTTCTCAAAACTGTGTAAAAGAGACTTCCGAGTGATTTCTTCTCCGAGCACAACAATCTTGACCACCTCAAGTCTAGTATAACGCGTTATCTATCATCATGCTAGGCCCTTCTTACTTCCTCTCTTTACGCCTGTACAACATCATTCATTAACCCTTTGCAGTGAGTGACGGTTGGGCCTTGTATTTTGTGAACAATAGTTTTTAAAATTCCGCTTTTTCATATGTGAGAAACATCTCCAACATTCATTGCTGTATATGAGGACTGATATTACAATGATATGATATATGAGGACTGATATTACAATGATATGATATATGAGGACTGATATTACAAAGCAGTTCATCACTTTTTTCTTTGTTTCTCACGAAACTACTCCAATCATGCATAATAGAGTAGAGATTTTTACCGTCTACTGTTTGCTTAGGTTCTTGCAGTCATCTTTTACTATAACGGTGCACCTTATATCTTTGTTCTAAATCGACTTACGGCCATATCACGTTGAAACACCAGTTCTCGTACGATGACCTAAGTTAAGCAACGTTGAGCATGGCCAGTACCTAGATGGGTGAACGCTTGGGAATAACAGGTGCTGCAAAATTAGATGTGAGTTTGGTGTAGTTATTAACATCTTGGAATGTGAAATCGGGGAGCAGAATTTGAATTCCTCTCGGGTTCGTAACATTCACTTAAGCCGCAAATAGTGTTGGGAAAGGCATGAATCAAAATCTCCCTCTCTCGGATATGGGTTAAATAGTAGGAATTTTATCTAAGAAAATTATTATAACCAGAAATCATAACCAAAAATTATATCTGCACTTGAAAAATAAATAAAATATCCAATCAATTACGATCGTAAAAATTTTTTAGTGTAATGTCAATGGTTATCTCCTGTATTCTTAATTCCTATACTTTTATTGTTTTCGCTTCTTAATAATATTTTGTTTTTCTTATATTCCTTCGCACTTATTAACCTCCGGCGTCTTAGCGTTTCTGCTCCCTTGCTTGTGGTGAAATGATAAAAAAAAGAATTATTCTTACAATGCAAAAATATTTTAGCTTTATATAATCTACAGAAGGCTGATAATCCGTAAAAATATAAAACATTAAATTAATGAATAGTTGTATATTAAATATCGATGACCTCTAAGAATATATTTTCAAAGATTGTTTGTATGATTCCTTGATGTTATTCAAGTACTCTCTTGCAAGATTTAAATGTAACCTCAATCAATGTTATTTGTCTACCTGAATCCTTTTCTTTTTATTGTCATTTCTCTTCAATAACTTATGATCAATTCTCTTCACTGTTAGTAAGCCTATTGCATTGTAGTAGCTTTATCGTCTTGCTTGGAGTAAAATAAATTATAATAATAATAATAATAATAATAATAATAATAATAATAATAACCAAGAAACAATCGATCATCGTGTATCAGGTTGCACGGTATTGGAAACTCACTGAATATAAAACCCGGCATGACAGAGTTGGCAAATATCTGCACTGGAAAATCTGCAACTTCTACGGGAAAGAAACTGAAAGGAAATGGTATGAACACCACACAGACCCGGTTACGGAGCTAGGACCTGTTACAATTTTATGGGACTACACAATACACACTGACAGAACAATCAAAGCCAACCGCCCAGACATTGTTATTAGAGATAGCACACAAAAAAGTGCCGCCTTATTGATATGGCAGTACCTGCAGACTGCAATGTATCTTTCAAGATCTTCAAAAAGTTATCAAAATACAAGGATCTTGAGATTGAAATCTCAAATATGTGGCAGATGGGAACATCAACAATCCCCGTTGTAGTTGGATCCCTCGGACTGGTTGGAAAAGATTCCAGTAGACTAATTGAAGGGATTCCTGGAAGCCCATTCCTTAAAGAAATACAAAAAATTGTTATAGCCTACACCTTACGAAGGGCTTTGTCTATGTAAAATATGATTTTTTTTTTTTTTTTTCAGTGGAAAATGTCATGGCGCCATTTCTAACCTTAGGTCCCTGGGTGGGACCCGGAAAAAATGTGTACACACCAGAAATTAAAGGAAATAATAATAATAATAATAATGATAATAATAACAATTATAATATTAATAATAACATAAAAACAATCGGTCATTTTGTATGAGGTTGCACGGTATTGGCAGCCACTGAATATAAAGCCCGGCATGACAGAGTTGACCAATATCTGCACTGGAAAATCTAACTTCTACAGGAAGGAAACTGAATCACCACACACACCCGGTTACGGAGATATGTGTTTTGTTTTGTTTGTTTTTGGCAGTGGAAAATGTCATGATGCCATTTCTAAGCCTAGGTCCCTGGACGGGACCCGGGAAAAATGTGTACACACCAGAAATCAAAGGAATAATAATAATAATAATAATAAATTACCAATAAGGATTTGAAATATTTTTAGTCAAACGCAGGAAATGATTGTCTTTCTTGATTTTTAAACATCCTCTAAAGAAGAAAAAATACACGCGGAAAATACCGAACATTGACGGGAAAAAGCGAACGTTTTAAAGACCTCACTGACCCACTACCCTAAATCTCCTCGACTTTCAATCAAGTCCTCTCTTTCCTATCTCCTCTCTCGACGCTCACTCGCTCACTTTCAGCTGCTCGTTTTCCCCCATAAATCAAATTCACTTATCAGGTCAAGCAGTGCATTGACAAAAACACGTGTTCGAGGCTGTGTAATGTGGCCAAATGGAAGGAAAAGGGAAATTTAGCTCGGTCGGTAAGATAGATAAATACATAAAGAAATATATTAACTTACCTTTTTTTATTATTGTTAAAGGATTAAGAAAAGAAAAGAGAGAGCCAGAGTATGTTCGTCTGTTCATTCATTCTATCTATCTATCTATCTATCTATCTATCTATCTATCTATCTAAATGTAAAACAAGGAAAAGATTAATTTAAAAGAGGGCTCAATACACAAGTAGAGCAATAAACATTTATTATAAATTGCTACATTGGAACATGCAAGTTATGACTTGACGAGACGTCTTCAGACGTCGAAATAAATATGCATTTTTATATTATAATGGTAACTTGCATGTTCCAATGTAACAGTTTATAATATATATATATATATATATATATATATATATATATATATATATATATATATATATATATATAATTCTACATTTCATATCTATCTCTATATATATATATATTTATATATATATATATATATATATATATATATATATATATATATATTTATTTATATATATATATATATATATATATATATGTATATATATATATATATATATATATATATATATATATATATATATATATATATATATATATATATATATATATATATATATAGCACTACCTTTTCAAATCTATCTATCTATCTATCGGATGATATAGGTTCTCCTATCGTCCGTTTCACATTCCTCCCGGGTTTTTAGAACAGGAGTAAAGGTTTATCACTTGTTTCATGTTTAGGACTGTGTTTCCTGTTCATTCCAAATTCTAAATTTCTAATGTCTCCATCCGAAGGGGGATATTAGAAGCATATATATATATATATATATATATATATATATATATATATATATATATATATTAAGCAAGGGTTTCACACCAAGCTAGGCGGGTTTGGCACTATAAAGCAAAGGGGTTACAGAGTGGAGAGAACAAGTGTAAAGAGGCATGTTTGGGGAGAGGATAAAGAGAAAGACGGGGAACAAAATCAAGACATCAGAAGATGTCGATGGACATTACACTTGAATATGCGATGATTATAGTTATCAGGGAAGCAATAAGAGGAAGAGAATTAAAACAGACGGGTAGTTCGAAAGGAGAAGCTGTTTGAGTAGAAGAGACGGTTACATTTAACTGATTCGGCAGTGAAAGGGTGGGACCGAGATGCCACTCTAGTAGCTTGCTTGAATTCATGCAGTCTGGGTACCAAAGAAAGTATAAAAGGGATAAAGAGAAGCCACAGCACGTCTGTGAGAGAGAGGGACTGTAGACTAGATGCCAGATCAGGACCTATGACATTGCATATCCGTCTCTGGATTTTGTCGAGGACCTAGAGACTTACAGTGGAGGCACCAGACCATATGTGGCAACAATATTTCATCCAAGGAGGGATGGTTGATATATGAATTTAAAGGTTGGACTCAGCCGAGAAAAAAAAATTCTTGCACGACACAAAGAACCAACTTTACATATGTATATATAATGTTTAGGACGTCTCGCAAATCATTACAATACAAATTCGAGACGAAAACGCAATTCTAAAGTGAGTAGATGAAAACTACAGTAACACTTGTCGCTTGTTTCATTTAAAAGGAAATTCTCCAAGCTCTTCCTCCTAATTATTTGTCCCCCAAGTTTCAGCAATGTCTTTCTGATTCTAACTATAAACATGGTTTCTATTTTCATTAAGGCTTCTTCGTTGCTTATGCACTCTGTGCATGGTATTCTCAGCATCCTTCTGTAGAAAGACATTTCTGTTGCATCCAATCAACAAGAGGGTGGTAAAAACATAACAGGTCAGGTAATCTTTCCTTGTGGTTATGCGTTTTCATTTTATTCCACACGATGCCTGCAGAAACAATGAGTGTTGTATCATGAAATTGCTTCAAACAAATAAAAATCATTTTATCGAACCGCCTCCGGCTGCACGCAATGGCGGTGATGTTTAAACATGGCGCTTATGTTTAAATGTCTATTGTTTGCCGAAAATGTTAACAATATGATTTTGAACAAGCCACATATCAACAAGTTTGTTTCTTAATAATGACAGTAATTAATAGATATATAAATTAATAGATATATAACTGTGTGCTAAGAGATAGATTTAGCTCAAAGCGAAACAAAAGAACAAGGCCTCGGGTAGTCAGTCAAGTCCTATCAGTCTGCGTGATCAAACAAGTAGAAGCCGTATGTCACAGTCTGTATTGAAGTCAATACTGCCTCTCGTCTATTTCCCGTGGTACGATAACTGTTTTATATCAAGAAACCTGTCTGAATAGTCTTAGATATGACGATAATCTACATCCTAAACTAAAAGTAAACTTCTGATTGGAGGTTTTTAGGTGTCTGGAACAACCACATATTTTCTGTTGTTTCCAAGTCTACCCTAAACCGGTGTGGTAACATTTGTTGGTGTCGCAGCTATGGGTACATAGTGAACACTCAAAGAAAAACACTATGGATGTATAAAACTACAGTTTACAGTAAAAATACCAGCAATATATTTTTATATAGCAAAATTAACAACGATACCTATTTATAGTAATATTGTTTTTTCTATAAATATTTTCATGGCATCTGCTCTGACGAGCTTTTGTTCACTGGTGCCCCGGCTGCATGAATTTAAGCATACGACATGTCAGTCTCACCCTTTTACTGTCGATACAGTTAAATGTAACGTCCTCTTTTACTCCAACAGCTTCTTCTCTCGCACTTCCTGGCAGTGAAACTCCTTTCCCCTTACTTGCTTTTCTGAGAATTATAATCTTCAAGACTTTAAATGGACATCTTCTGTTCCATTGATCCCCGTTCTTCTTTTTTATTCATCTCCGTTCATCTTTTTATCCTTTCCTCAAC